TAAATCAGGAGTGAAACTTCATTCAGGTAACCTTTTTGCACAGTGGCACATCAAAACGTCTTCATCATGTTTCTCCTAGCTTGCGCGTAAAAGGTGTTCTTGCCTATCAGGTCTGTCAATCAAAAACTATGGAAGTCGGATAGTTCTCAATGGTCCTACATCTTTGCCACACTCTATAAATCTGACGCCACAATCAGGCCAATAATCCGCTTGTGTCCCGACTCTAACACAGTCAGTAGTTTGGTCATTGTCTGGGCTTCCTTTAAAAGACCTCCCAAGGGACTATCAATTCAGTTTGTTACTCGTTTTCAGGACGGCAGCAAAGTTTACCTGATCTTATCCTATTTTTTTCTCCAAAGACGATTTCTTAAAAGATGGCATAGGAAACACAATGTATCTACAGCAAAAACCGAAGTTAGAAAGTTTATCGGATATACTGAGGGGACAATTCTTCCCGTCCTCAGGTCGATTTTTTTTAGTTGGCCAGGTGGCTGACCAATCCGGAATTTGCCTGTAAAATGTTTTTTTCGAGATTCTGAAGTTCAGGCCATTCCTATCTTTGGGGCAGTATTTTGGCTAGCCAAATGGGTGTCTTACGCATAAGCCTCAAAGATTATTCTGTTAGCAGACTTAATGACTCACTTTTGTGACAAAGTGAAAAGATACTGGTGCATAAAAAGACTGTCTGGACCTCTCTACTGGTGGGTACAGCCGCACTGAAGCCACCAAAAAACTAACATGAACATATTTTTTTGCTCTACAGTCCTTAAGAGTGTATGGGTCGAGGACACAAAGAGAGTGGAGACAACAGTGAACAAAAACAAAACACACCGAAGCATATGGAAAGACTGTATACCTCTCATAGGAAGTGAATAAAGCAAGACACGGATAACTGCAAAAAATTTAATTTAAAAAAGCAGGGAAGCTGGGGGAACAAATAATTTTCGACAGGAATGATAAACCGTCGTAAAAAATATATAGCTACAAGTTGCTCCTCGGACGAGCTTATTGTTAAAACACATTCTTTAACCATTGTCTGTAGTCTCTTTCATGACGTTACAGTTTTCACTGTGTTAGTATGGCTCCTGAAATAGATCTGTATTCTTTGGAATAATTCAAGGCAAAACGTAACAGGCTTTTTGTGAATAGACCATATGGCGTAAAGTTTTCTTTTTGGGATAATTGAAGACAATCTAAAATAGTATTTTTGGCATAAAACATATAGGATGCCTCCAACTTTCAAGTGAGGAAAAGAACGGCATGTTATGGGTAGCAAATACAGAAGCTATTCCACACCGCCAACATAAATACTAAATCGTTTGGGGGATTTGGCATATTTGCCTAATTCAGTTGACCCAATTGTGAAAAATTCGCGGCCTCGGTGGGAGTCGAACCTACAGAGCAGGGAATGCTGAAAAATTCGCGGCCTCCGCAAAAGCCTGCCCTCCCGAGGCCGCGAATTTTTCGAAAGTTGGTCAACTTAATAAGTTCTAAAATATTTGAATTAAGCTTACACTTCGAGTCGATAGACGTATAACCTCTGAAGTTTAAATATTAAAATAACTCAAACATAGGACTTGTTGACTTACTTTGCTTAAGCTGAGCCTGGAATTTGCGGATGGCTCGGTAGTCCAATCGGGTAATTTCTGGTGGACTGAATTCGCCAATGACATGATCATACATCTCCTCTATCTCTACCCAACGATAGAGTTCACGCCAGTACATCTTCTCCCGGTCGGGAGACTCGGTGACATCGAGGGCATGCGTTGGCACCTTTTGGTGTACCAACTCGCAGAGTTCAATGAAGAAATTCGGTTTCGGCGCGGGGTCGCCCTCCATGATGAGGGTTCCGGAAGAGGCTAAAAATGTGTCAACAGATATAGGAAAGATTGTAGTTAACTTGTATAAATGCTCCAAAAAATGTGTGTATAGTTCAGGTCAATTTGATTTTGCTTAATTTCCCAATCTAACGAGTTCAATGGGTGATGTTTTCTTAAATCTATTGCTGTGGCATAATGTTAAAGAGAGCTTTCGTTTTATCGTCTAAAAAAAATCCAAATCCTGATAGGTATGCCAGTTCTCTTGGATAACAGGCAAGTTGCATTTACTATTCAGACGTATGTGCAGTCTACTGCTGTATCACAATGAAAGAAAAGGTCATACCATCATTGGATTAATTTCAGTCAAATTTGTTTATGAGTTCTGATGACAACTTTCCCAAGACCTGTTTTATACCCTGTGTATAATTTGAAAACAACTGAATAAATTGGCTTGCAGTAATTTTAAGGACCTGAAGCTTAAGGGATTTGGCCTGGGCGAGGGGAAAAAGTAATCGAGTGTGTTAAAGAAAGTGCATAACTTACCGGCCAAGTCTACGAGCAGATTCCCCATAACTAATATTAGAAGCCTTCGGACGATAGACATTACGCTGAATACTTAAACCAGACCTTAGACGCAGAAGTATTCCGAGAAATGGATGCGATCGGGATCGTTCTTCTGCTAGTTCAAATTGTATTTAGTGGGATGCCTGGATTCCAATTGGTATTAGGAAGGTCGCCTGATTTACGGTAGGCATTACAGCTGAAATGTTAATTCATTCAGATGCAAGCTGGAGGTTTCACAATTTCGTCACTAGATAAATAGTCTGATGTATTGCGGGTGCAACATGGATGACATATTTGGGGTTGAATAAACTAACATTGCAACTCTAAGACAGGCGCACTCGTCAATTAAATTTACACCAGAAGAAGAAGAAGAGTGCATCTAGTCGCATACCTGCTCCTTTTGAGCAGAATATATTGCTCTCACGAGCCGGCGTTTGTCCAAAAGATTACGAGAACACCTTCCAGCACGGCTAGGAGAAGGCTAAATAAGGAACATTAATAGCTTCATTGTAGCGCACATGTAGACTCAGCATCGCATAGCTGTCGGAGAGGCTTTTCGAATGATCTACAAGGTGCCCTCCAGTTATTACAAAATCCTTGGAAAACGTCTATTGACTACGGTGGGAGCGCCCAAGTCAAATTCATGAAGACACCGCAGTTATTATGGCCAAATGTCGCCAATTCATCCGCCAATGCTAGTTACCGTTTCCGACAGCCCATTCTCCTTGACGTTGATCAGATTGCTGGCCCCAATTCTGTACTCCTCCCTCCGGCCCTCGTAGCGACAGGATTTTTCTATCAACCCACACATTTTACTTGGTTAATAACGAAATAAATTTAGAGGTCTGAGAAGGATTTAGCGAAAGCAAACGTTAGCTGGCCAAGTTATCTTTTGAAGTCTTCTTAAGCATATTTTTTTATGACAGGCAATTAGCATAACTGTCAAATTTGGAAATTCAGTTCTATGCGAAAACAGAGATTGGAAGAGAATGATAGTAGCGCGCCCAAATAATATTCGCTTATGAATTTATATACAGCACTTCATCATGGTTGACACCAACATTCCCCTCAATTTCTAGTGTCCGTAGCTCAACAAGCGCTTTAGACGCTTTTAATTCAGAACTAATAGCCGCACAGTTCCCCTTCATTATTTACCAATCCTTAAAAAGCCTGCTTGTCGAAAAGTAAAAGAATATCCATTGAATCATGCGGTCTCCCTGATAGTAGAACAGTGTTATTCTTGTTTATAAATAAAATATCTGTCTATAATTTTCAACTAGGAAGCATGAGATCCGTAGCGAGAGAAATGTAGTTCACTTAGGTTCACAGCAGACGTACCAAGAAATTTGGGAAACAATTTCTAACAATTTCGCGCAGTTTACATGATCAAAGATGCTGACATTTTGATAATACCTGAGGTAATTTATGCATGTAAACACTCCAGCCTGGTAACTTACTTCGTGACTGCTTTAGTCATGCAAAAGAAACGAAATCGAATTCATGTGTCATTTAACAAAAGTCTATAATCTCCGCAAACCGAGAGACTTGCGTTTGGAGAGGCTATTGGCCTCCTCTAAGCAAAATTTTTAGTGGCGAGGTTTCGTGTGAAGGTTTTAGGCCTTATTAACCCTTTTCTTGACTTTTAATGAATTTTTTTTATTTATCACTGCCAAGATCTTAAATTTTTGAACTTTGCCTGGGAGGATGTGTCTCAGGGAGTGGACGTTGCTCTGCTAAGTTCCCCCTACGATTAGGTCAATTCAAGAAACAAACGGAGCGGCTGGTCTTTTATATCACGAAAAGTCTCTGCCTAAAGTCGGCATTTGTTTGTCGAGAGCGTTGTAAAGGTCCACACAGCTAAATACATATATATGCCTCACGAGCCGTGTAAGAAGAATCGATGCTATAACATATGCTTTAGTCTATTGACAGGATTATCAGTTGAAAATGCGCACTTTGTTTTAGTTAACCTTTGACGAGACCGAATTTTATGTTAATACTCCTTTCTGTTTCATGGACGAGAGGATGCAAGGCTAAACATAGGAAAGTGTGCTTCTAAAAACGAGCTAATTATTAGTTAAAGAAAAATAGAACTCAAATAAGGTAAATACGCGATCACTGGTGCGACTCCTTGCTATGTTAGAGTTTTCGGCTTCGTGCAAGAGGCCATCTTCAGAGACTGCACGTGCAGCCAAAGCTGACCTACTTTTAAAGTTTAGCTACGAAAAAGGGGGTGGGTAGCGGAGAAGGGGGTTACAGTCGTGGTATGGTTGAGTCCACGCCGTCGCACGGCGTCGTCACGGCGTGCGAAAAACGGTAATTAGGGTATTTTCGACTGTTTCAGTGTATTGAGTATAAAAGCCAGTCAGTCTTTGGCAGATTAACTTGGCCCTTGAACCGTTCATGTCAAATGTATGTTTGTAAGGTATGGAAAAAATTCGAGTTAAATTTCGTTAATCTGAATATATCTAAGCACAATGGATATTGAAATAACGCGTAAAAGCACTACCAGGCGGCAGTATTGGTGTTGCACGCGCTCACGCGACTGTCGAAGCGAAATCTAGTTCGCTGCTTAACGCAAAGAGCTAGAAAAATTTGCTCAGAAGACACTATTAAAGATGAACTCGAGAAAATCCAGGACTTACACCGTGAGAACGGATATCCCGAGAGATTCATTACCAAGAATATGGCTGCCAAAAAAATAAAACCCACAACACTTACTGTGGAAAAGAAAACCTTATTTCTCAAATTGCCCTTTCGAGGAGACGTGGCAGGTGAACTCCTGAAAAGACGCCTTGACGTAGCCGTATCACGAACCTTTCCAGCAGCGAGAGTTCGGGTATTATTCTCAGTTAATCCGGTCTTACATGGGGAAGACAAGGACAGGTTACCGACTCAGACCATCTCCATGTGCCTCTACTCCTTTACTTGCTCCTGTGGAGCAGGTTATAATGGTCGCACAAGTCGGCGCCTATCCAAAAGAATCAAGGAACACCTCCCGCAATGGCTAAGGACAGGTGAATTCAATACCACCAGGACCATCAACAGCTCCATTCCAGCGCACGTGGTGCATTCCGGACATCAGGTGGACCCCAATGAAGCCTTCAGGGTGATCTACAGGGTCCCACCAAACTACCCTAAGACAT